CATAGTCTCTACTTGTAGGCTGGTAACTTTTGTGACTATCCTTTTTTCCTTGACAGCAAGTCTTCTGTAAATTTGTTTTTCTATATCTTATACTTTTCTGGTGCTCATCCTACCATCTTGGTTTCAACTGCTTAATATTTTGAATTATGCTTCCTGAATGCTGCAAATTAACCAGTCACTTTCTGGAATTCAGTAATTCAATGAATGGGAATTTTGGATAGCAAGAATCCATTATTTTAGCTAATCTGTTATTTTGCTAATTTAAGATGTAGCTAATTTTAGAAGAATCTTACACTGAGATTATTGGCACTGACTTAAATATTAGTTAAATCATGGACACATGATTTTGGGACAAAATCCACTAGAATGAAGCACCATGATTTAACTGGTACATTATATTTGTATGACATCTGTTGCAATTGAGGAGTGCAGGCCAATCAAATTGCCACTGTGAATACGTGTAAGCTTAATTTGTATTCAATTTGTTGCTTTATTTTCAGAATTGTCGGTACTTTGATCTCGTATAGCTTGCCAGCGCCAGGTTACAGCATAAAATTACAACAATTCTAGAATGCTCATTGCCAGTTGAAATTGGCCGTTGTACAAGATTCTGTCAATTCATGCATTAAGTCATCAAATTCATTCAAATGATATGTAGCTATGTTTTACAGTATTCTCCCATTGTAGAATTCATTTCAGTGTTATTTTAGGAATGTTGTTTTCATTTTATAATATGAAATTATGTTCTTAATATTATTGTCAAATTTACTGCCACCTTCCATGAACTTCAGGTTGTCTCATCTGAATTTGGTTTTGATCATAAGCCTCAACAATTGTGGTTTTAAACTTGAGTGCCACCAGAGTTGTACAATGACAATACAAATGTATAACCATATACAAATCTTAATTTCGTCACTCTAAACTTACCACTTTCTTCCCACACTAAAATGATCAAATTTGGAATATTTATACAGTTTTATAGTTTATTTTTCTAGAATTCCTCGTTAGATGTGTGTGATAATTCATTTAGTTACTTATCATTTTGAAAGTTGGTGAAAAACACCAATATTTTGTTTATTTACATTATATTTATTATACCAAATCTGCTATGAATTAATATTGCATAAAAACGAAAGTATTAGGAGTGCTGTGTGGGGGCGCTGTCCTAAAAATAACTTCATCATAGGGCAGCACCTAGTTTACATTGATTTTATTTCCTGCCAATGTGTGGTGCTGCATTTAACAACCCCTCGCCCCAAACTTGTAATTGTTGTGTAGCTAGGACAATGATAGTGTATTCAGGGTATTACAGAGTTTATGTCGCCAAATATATCAGATCTTCCATTTTCTGGAAGCAATTATTATTGTTTGTATTTAAAGTACTATTGTATTAAGTAGTATAGAACTTGTTTTTAGTTCATACAATTTTTCAGCATTTTTTTTTTTTACAAATTATAAATATTATTGTGTTGATTGCCAACAAATAAAATAATAAATTTAGACAAATCGGGTCTCTTCTGTTTTTGTGATACCTTTTGTAGTCTACCGGTAATTTATCCTATTTCTGGCCAGGTGATTGAAGATGTGCTCCAATGAGATTTTGAAATACTTGGACTTGGTCACTCGTTCATAGTATGACTGAACACCAGGACCCAAAACAAGACATTCCATGTTATTTCAATGGATGATTTCTGGCTTTACACCTCACCTTGCAATTTCTGGTTAGCCACTCGTGGGAGCACTTTTTTTCTGGGCCGTTTGAACTGTTAGCAACTCATTTAAGTTATGAGGATTGTGGACATATTCACATGGCAATAACATCACTACAATATTTTTAGAATAAATCCTATCAACTGAAGGGTGGTGGAACTTGTAGTGATGTACACAATGTGTGTAAAAATACAATACAATTTGAACATGCACTCTGCTACAACCTTTGACAGAGTTTTTCAGGATCAAAAAAAAAAAAAAAAGACTTCTTCCAGCTAGTCTTGTTTATTAGTCATTACCATTTAGTTACTTTATTGTGAATAGTTTGATATTTGTTCACATTTTTTGTCATTCTGACTTTTCGTTTAAAACTGACAACTAGTGATTAGTTGCGCGACAGCCAACTGATTCAACGAGTCTTGTAGTTATGCAGTGGGGAACACAACTGTTAGTCATCTGCAGTAACGTTGGACAAGACAGACCTTCATCTTTCCTGTCAGCCTCAACTGAAATGCAGAGAAATGTGTACTAAACCTGTGGTATTGAATCGGGGCTTGAATTAAAAACTTGATTCAACTTTGATTCACTGCAGTTCCAGGAATCACCAATGCGCTGAAGAGACGGTTAATATTAATCTAGATTTTAATTACAATTTTCATCTGGACAAATAAATTTACATATTTAAAAGTAATTTCTCTCTCTTGGACACAATGCCAAAGTACTGCAGGAACAGAACTGAATGAGCTGTAGTGCAACATCTTGCATGCTTTAAAAGCGTTGTGTAGTTGGGACTGTTATCCCACACAGGAAGTGTCCAAGAGGAATAACACTGTATAATAATTCTGCATATGTACAAAGTCCAAAAAATGAAAGGAATATAACTTGCATATTGCTAGAACAGAATATGTTTGGAAAAACAGCAAAATTGTTCATTACTGTATTTGCATAAATAAATAAGGTGTGTATGGTCAAAATAGGTAAGATTCTGTAATTTAATACAAGCAAATGTTGGATGTTAAATGGATACCTAATGCAGAATTGCATGCACTTCTTTTTCTATGGTTTCACATGGATTGACAAATCTGTGACAATATAAATCATATGCATTCAGTTGAAGGGTGGTGGTCATCACTCCAGGAATGCGCGAGATATGGGTTTCATACGAACAAAGAGGGCGAATTTGACAGTTGCGCAGTCCAACGAGTACAGACTGAGATGTTACCAAGTTTGAACAATATAATTTCTTTGATGATTGGAAGGTATCGAAAAAGTCCCTGGTGGTAATTTGTGCATGTCGTCCCCAGGTTAAAGACTTGTACTCGTGATTTCCATTAGAAAGGCTCATTTAGATTATGGGAAAATCAATGTTTTTCAACACAAATGTTGCATATGCGCAGCTTGACAACCACCGCCCTTTAAAATAAAGTAAAAATAAAATTCCAGCGGCTTATTTCTATGTTCAAAGTTAAGATGCGAGTAGTCTACAGCCAGTCAAGCTCAATGTTCACCTGACTAGTTGGAGTTCAGTTTAATCTTTACAAATGGACGGACTCTAAAAAAGGCAAAAGTACAGTAAGTAATGATCATCTACAACCTCTTTGCATAACTTGTCATTCCTTAGCATAAATCTATTATTTTTGTTTTTAAGACTTTATAAAGTCTACTTACAAAATGTATCGAATTTGGAAAAATTAGACTCGCATGTATAAGCATCTTGCCAGATAAGATATACAGAGACTTATATAAACTCAATTAAGTTTGGTTACTGCAGTACACTTTTTTTTTTCATTTGAATTTATTTTTGAAGGGGTATCAGTGAAAATAAATTCAAGTGAAATGATATTTATTTACAGTTTGAACGTAATTGTTGTGGTTTTAATTGAAAATGTGTTACAGCTAAAATAAAAGTACTGTTAAAAATGTAAGTATATTGCTGCTTAAATGAAACATGTCATAATAATTGTTTACAATATATGCTGTGATT